TTTCCCCATAAGGGTCAATGCAAATAAGGTTAATCCATCCTGCAACGATTTTTTTTACTCACAAAAATTTGAAGCAAAGTGTCAAAGAACAACAAAGATCGTGGCCATCTCCCCCTCCCCCAGCGATTGTGCAGGGGGGTGTGGAGGCAGGCAGGCATGATCCTGGGCACGGGCGCTATTGTGGCTATCTCCCCCCCACCCACCAGCACAACCGGAATAGCACCCATGCAGGGAAGGCGGGTGCACTCGCGATCTTCACCCCATGCAGAGTTTGCAACCTGCGGCAAAATTTTTATGAAATTTCTGTTCACAACCAAATTTGGTCATTCGTGAGCCGAGGTACCACTGTATGTGGCTTTAATGTTTTCACAAATGTTTTATTTTCTCTTTGGAAAATGCTTAGATACTATGCTAAGCAACATATAAATTTATTAACTAAAGCTTCTGAGGAGTTAGCATGTATATTTCAAACCACAGGATGTCTGTGCCTTAACAGCTGCATGACCAACAAGTTCAACAAATGCGCACTTTCCTCACTATTGACTCTCTATAGTAGGAAAAGCTGCATCCACCGAAATTTCTATCCATTGTGCAGTGGATAAAAGCATACGAGCTTTTAAAAGTTAAATCTTGTTAAAACTAAATCTTGTTAAATCTTGTCAAAACTACATTGATGTAGTTTATGACATTTTATTTTCATCAGTAAACCTTTGCACATAGCTCTCTCTGTACTTTGCAACTATAGCACACCAGAACATCTAGTTTTGTCAGATGCAAGAAATGCTAATCCAAAATTTGAGTGCATCACATCAGAACTCCTTTTAATTTCTTCCTGAGTCGAAAAGGAGAAATATATTGTGTTTACCTTTTCTTTGCAGTTAATTAAATCATCAGTGTAGAGAAAGAAAGAGGAACTATTCCTATGGAAGGAAGTGAGGGATAGAGAGAAACTAGATTAATGATTAAACAGGTTTATGCCCCCCTCAAAAAAAAAAAAGTTTATAGATTGCCATTCCAATGTTATTTCCACAAGATGAACCATCAACAAGTTACTATGCTGAATCACAGTGATGCAACTGTATTAAATAAACATCACAATGCACGGTGAGGTCATGTTGTGCTTACTTTGTCCCTCTCTGAAAAGCAGTTTACTGCTGAAGCTTCTAGAAACTGTTATTAGTCGGTGATATATAGTCCCTTGGAATTGGTTTAAAAACAAAGTAAAGAACTTTGTATTGTGGTGTTTGCACAGAATTTAGTGCAGAAAGGGAAACAGTCGTATAATCACTAATTCACTGCCTATTCAAAAAAGGCTTACATGGATACAATTGAGGGGGTGTTGTGTTGTGTCTGTGTCACTATTTGGTTGTAAAGGCACAGATGCTTTCTCTTCAAGGTTGCTAAGGTTTTGCTAGCATTCAAGCCACAAATTGTTCTTACTAATATACATAATAAAATTCCCCAACTAATTCTGATGGAGGATATAAGATGGCAATGACATCACATATGATAAAAATACAGTTTTCCTCCAAGGTTAATAACCCCCCAAAAAGGGGTTATTTTTCTATAAAAGTTTTGCACATACGTCTACCTAAGTGCTAAGGTTGACTTTTCAAAATGCTATTACCTGATCCTTCTCTGCAAAGGAAAAAAATCTATTTTATTTTACAGGTACAAAAAGTTTCCACAACACTACAGCCCTTGAAGCATTTCTCCCAGGGTATGAGCTAGTAGACAAGTAATAATATGTGGAAAACTGCTGCCTAATAGCTTATTAAGCCTTCACTAAAAATTGTAAGAGGCATACCACACCCATCAGACCTTAAGCAAGCATTCTCAAGGAACTGGTGACTTGCTTGAGCCAGTGTGATTGTTTCCCCCAACTCCTTGTAAGATCAACAGGGAGTTGAGAAACCTTCCCAAGCACTATCCTATGAGCCTTTGACCTTTCCACAGTACCAAGTTTAAAAAGCGGACAACAATAATATGGAAATGTCTTGAAGTTTCTAGCTGATTTTGCCACTTACGGTGAAGCAGCAAATGGCATCCCTCCCCAAGATAAGGTGCAAAGGCCACCCACAGCATTTTTGCACTGGAAGCCAAACATTCCGGAAGCATATCGTTATGCCTGGAATGAAAAACAAAATGCAATAATGATTATTACATTAGGCACAATTACACCAGCTGGGTGGAAGTTTTAGGATTTTGCAAAAGTACTGCATCATTAGCAACATACTGGCTTTGCATTACCATCCAGGCACTTACACTCCCAGAACTCCGCCAATATGCCAAGAATGTGTTTCCAGCTGCTTCACAGGCTGCACCACAGTTTCACAGGCTGCTTGCTGATGGTCCCCGATTTCTTGCACTGGTGGGTGAGCGCAGGTAAAATGCTTTGTGCAGGGGACCCTTGCAACCTCCATGAATGTAGGATTGCTCTTACAGGCAGTGCTATGGGGGTTCCCTTGACTGGCTTTGTGGTTTCTGCCAAATTTTCTGGTTTCATGTTATTAGAGCAGGGAAAGTGTGACTCACAGTCAGGTCAGGTTTTGTAGGCTGACTGCCTCCCATTTCTTGTATATTCAGCTCCTGGTGATAGGTTTCCATGGTTTGTTATACCTTCAGAACACAGGTAGCAGGGGCTCTTAGGGTTGTTGAATATTTAAAATGGCAACCAGCATGCACTACAACCCACCATAGCTTACAGGACCCACAGTGGGCTACATCAATCATGCAAACAGCCCAAATGTTAAGAGTGCTTTGAAACTGTTCATCAGCAGTTAACACTTGATCAGCAGGCTGAGAAGCCACAGAGGTAACCTTGTCACAACCTTCCCCCCTATTGTGAAATTGTGTATCTATTTAATTGTAGTAATTATTTCTAATTTTGCATCTCTACCATCTCAAGTAGCACGTGCAAGTTTGCGCTAATCCGTACCCTCTTTTGTTCTCCATTCTTCTTTTTTGTGAAGAAAGGGCCACCCTAAACAGAACCTAAGCAGGTGGCTGGAGTCTCCATGATCAAGAGACAAGGTAAAACAACTTGCACTCTAGGAAATGGCTGCCTGGGAATCAGATCTGTGCTCAGGTCAGACATTCAGTTCTCACACGGTGGAAGGCAAGTTTAGCCCCAACACAAAGATGCATAGCACCTAGAAATAGTTTGCAAGTCTTCCCCCTGTTCCAGCCTGCAGGCCTATTCTGCCCTTGCACACCTCATCCATTATAATGATAGTCCTTGCTGATAATGCCAATTCTCCCTTTTATTATACTAAGGCATGCCTAATTTAATCATTCTGGAACTGTAGTGTGTTGAAAGTCCTCAAGAGGAATGCCATGGCCCTGCTGAAGAAAATGGTGACACACTTCACACAATCACCAACATGGTTAAGAAGCTCCAGTAACCTGTTAAGCATGTTGTGCATGCAGATCACTTGCTGGTCCAGTTTGCTCCATTACCCTCACCTGCACAGTGTTCTGCCAAAACCCAGTTAAGGGTGGGTTGCTGCTGTAGTTAATAAACCATCCAGAAGGCCTGGACTGTTTTTCAGAGACCTCTTTCATATGATCACTGCAACTTAAAGAAGTCATGATGGCTTGTTTAAGTGGCAGTATGAGGCAGGCACTATTTGCCTAAGTACATGCCAACTGCAACTTGCCATGTCATCCATGTTCAGGCAATCTTGCATTTTAGAATAGGAAACAACCCTCAAATAACTCCCAGGCTGTTGTGGAGTTACCTGAGAGTTGCTGTTCCCTCAAACAAGTCTTGCCGCCTGAGTACAGACAACCTGAACTGACTCCAAGCATGTTAAGAGCTGTACCCCACACTCTCACTGGCATGTGCCCCTCACTGTTGCCAGCCTCCCTACACCCACGTCATTCCCTGAGATGTGGAAAACCCAATTTCAAATCCTCAAGATGCTCAAAGGGCTGGTCTTGACCAGGTTACTGGCCTCAATTGTATGTAACAGGAAACTGTGCCTTAATTAATCCATTATTTGCTGCAGCTGCAGATTTGCTTTTGTTTTGTCAACAATTTGATCATGCAACCCTCCTCTGGCAAGAGATCATACTTAGAAGAAAGGAAGCATCTATCTAGTGATGCTTCCATTCCACTTTCCAGTAAATATGCCTAGAACTGTGTTGAAAATCAAAGCTGTATGAGATCCCTGAAGGCCTTTAGATCAAAGCAAATCTCTGTGGTTCAATGACATATCACTGTCATCATTTGCCTGCCATTTAAATGTCCTTTATGGAAAACAAAACTGTTGGATATTCTTATTCTGGAGTTGGTAACTTTAAAATGTAAAAGATGTTGGCACAAGCCTTCAGAAATAGTGAATTCAACTGAAGACATCTGAAATTAGTTTAACGTAGTATTCTCATGTATGCCTTCATCTTTAGGAGCCTTCTGGTACTGTGATTGTGTCTTGTTTTTATCTTCTGCATCCACAAAGTGCATGGTGGTAGAAGCCACGAGCAAGTTCCAGGGTGCGATCATATACGTGTTTAGATAGGGGGAAAAAAATCCTACATTTCCCAGGATTCCCCCGTCAGCCAAGGCACAACCATCTCGTGTAGAACAACTGGCCGATGGGAGATGAACAGACCTGAAAACAATAAACGGCAAAGCTGCCGCATCGTCTAAGCACGTGCGCCACGGGACGCGCCCTCAGCCGTTGCGAGGCCCTTTATGTCCTGTGGGATGCTGGGCTTGTGGGAGGCACGTTCCCTCTCTTAAGAGTAGCGGCAGCGGCTCTTCCAAACAGCGCAGGAGTCGCCTGCGCCTGTGTGAGGACTGGGCGGGGGAACGGAGCCCGCGGCCGCGCGTGGTAACCCGCACGGCCGGGGCTCCCTTTCTCGTCCCTCGCCGCCCCGCCCGCCCGAGGGCTGGGTGCACGCGCGTGCGCCCTGTCCCGAGCCCCCTCCCGCTTCTGACTGGAAGTGGCGTACGTGCGAAGCGCAGCCGGAGAGTGGCGGCGCAAACTCCTCCCCTTCGGCTCAGGCAGCAGTCAGAGAGAGACCGGAGAGCGGAGAGGGAGAGACTCGCGCCAGCGGACGGCGGCGACGGCTGGCGTCGCCCCTCTTCTCCCTCAGGCTGCGGGGGAGAAAGGAAAGCCTTGGCGGAAGAGGCAGCCCGCCTCCTCCTGCGCCAACGAGGCTGCCATGAGGCGGCGGCGGCATTAGCAGCGTTCGGGTTTGGTGACTGTCCTCCGCCCACCAGGCGGAGAGTGGGAGGCGGGCGAGGCAGCGGGGGCCGCAGCGCAGTGCTGACGGGGGCGGCCATGATGAAGTGAGCCACTCGCCTCCTTCCTGAGGCCGCGGAGAAACGGGCGACTGAGGAGGGGGACGCGACAACATGGCCAATGACAGCGGTGGGAGTGGCGGCGGCGGCGGGGCTGGCCAAGGCGGCAGCAGTAGCAACAGCGGCAGTGGTGGCATTGGTGGCGGCGGAGGCGGCGGCAGCTGTGCCAGCAGCGAGCGGGACCGGCAGTACTGCGAGTTGTGCGGGAAGATGGAGAACCTGCTGCGTTGCGGACGCTGCCGCAGCTCCTTCTACTGTAGCAAAGAGCATCAGCGGCAAGACTGGAAGAAGCACAAGCTCATCTGTCGTGGCAGTGCCGCCGCGGTGGCGGGAGGGGGCGCTGCCGAGCACCGTAGCGGCCCCGGCGACCACCTCCAAGGCCACAGAAGCCAGCAGCATGCCTTAGGAGGAGGCGGAGGCGGAGGAGGAGGACGGGACGGCGTGGAGGGGGCGGCGGCACCCGGAACCAAGGCGGCCACGGCGCTGCTAGGCAAGCCGCCGGCAGCGGACATCAACTCGGACGAGAACGCCGCGGTGGCAGTGGTAACGAATAACCACGTTTCCAAAGTGGCGTTAGAGGCCCAGGAGCAGGAAGGCGATGACAAGGAAGCGGCGGTGGCTCCGGCAGCTCCAAGCGGGAAGGCGGGGCTCCTGTACCGGGATAAATCCAACTTGACTGGAGAGGCGTCCTTGCGTCCCAACGGACAGATGAAGTCGCTGGTGCCTCAGCGGTTGGCCCTGGAGTACATCGTGCCCTGCATGAACAAGCACGGCATCTGCGTGGTGGATGAGTTCCTGGGCAAGGAGCTGGGCGGGCAGATCGAGCAGGAGGTGCGCGCCTTGCACCACACTGGCCGCTTCACCGATGGGCAGCTTGTCAGCCAGAAGAGCGATTCCTCCAGAGACATCCGCGGCGACAAAATCACCTGGGTGGAAGGGAAGGAGCCTGGCTGCAAGACCATCGGGAAGCTCATGAACAGTATGGACGATCTCATTCGCCACTGCAATGGCAAGTTGGGCAACTATAAAATCAACGGCCGGACGAAAGTGAGTTGACTACTTTCTCTCATCATCCCTTAGGGGCACCCCGAACTCTCCACCTGAAGGGAGGCTCACACTTTTTGATGCCATTTATATGGTTATTTCCCCTTCCTACTTCTCTGAATTTAATAAGCACACTAAGTTCTAGGAATCACATTTTAGGACAACTTAAAAGTCAAGATTCTCACATTGTGGATGAATGGCAAATGCCAAGGAATCTATAAAGGATTCTTGCATGCTTGCTTAAGACGAAGCCCAGTTGAATTTAGTAGGACTCAATTCTGGCTGAACAAGCTGTATAGTAAGTATTCAGTTAAATAATCCAAAATCTAGACCTAGTGAACACACCATCTGGCAAAACTTGTTTTTGCCCACAGTTGAAGCACACCTATCCACCTAGGGAAGCATGCTGAGAAGATGTGTGTCATGCCACTGCTTAATACCATAGTTGTGTACACAGGCTTGTGTCTCAGAGTGGCTGAAATGGGGACCGATAAGTTGATACTCTGCTTTCTAATTAAATTAAAACTGTAATGGGTGTCAGGGAAACAACAAGATAGGATCGATATGTTCATGCTAAACAGTTATCTTCAGTCAGTCTACCATTCATAACTCTGGTTTGTAGTCTTGTTGGAAATCACTGCAGGGAGACTCGGGCCTGACTGCAATAGCAGTTGTAGTCTTAATTTTTTTGGTAACTCTCATTTCAGCCTTACCTGCAGTTAAGGTATAATAGCCAGATATTTCACTGCTGATGCTTGTTTTTTAAACACTAAAAGCTTTCTTGAGAATTGTAAAGCTTCACAGAGTTCATTTGTGTAGGAGCTGAGAAGGTATCAGTTGATGATGATATAGCAGTGCATAGGATATTGCTTGATTTGTGACAGATGTTCATATTTTTGGATGCTTCATGTTTCATCATTTAAAAAACCTATATTGGGGGACTGTTGGATTTTTTAATGGTCTAGTAGACATAAGTTAAAAAATGCTAAACTCAAAAATACTCCTGAAGTGCTTGGTGCCATTAACCTATCTTACCTATAATAAAAGTGTGATTCTAGAATATTCACCATCAAGGAAGACTTGACCAATATTATAAGGAATGACATGGAATTAGTATGCCAGTAATGTTGTTTTAATGTTAATTGATATGGTATGCTCAGCTTTTATTAGATTATATAATCTCAGTTTTAGCAAAGCAGTATCATTAAGTATAAATTAACATACAATTATGCAGCAATGTTAGTATGAAATATAGTAGATCAATTTTAAATGTGAACTGATTAGCGTGAGGGAAGAAACAGGGCTGGGTAAGTGTAAGGACTGAATATCCTAAGTTATCAGAACTTTAGCAACATTTAAGATGGGGTTCCTGACCTTTCCCCCCTCCCCCCATGCCCTCACACACCTTGGAGCTAGGAGACTATCCCTGAGTTCTTGCTGTGCTTTGAATACATTTTTGAAGAACATTTTTGTGTCAGAGACCAGAGCAGTCCTTGAGTCAGGCAAAGACAGAGTTTGTTATTCACTTAGAATATTTATATTCACTTTTGTATACAAAGTTCACAAAATGATTTACATAATAGAATAGGATGGCAACAAATTCTAATACTTATTAATCCTAACATTTCTGTTGCAGTTGCACTTTTTCGTGGGTGCCTTCATCTGGCAGGTACTGGCAACTCTTGGCTTTTGAAACTCTTAGTTGAGGAAACCGTTTGGAAAAGCTGGAGAACACTGATGTAAAAAGCTCTGTTGCTTCACTAGGCAGTGGAAGAGTAGCCTCTTGCACATGGAGGTCCGTTATCTAGGTAACACAAAGATGTTAGTGTCCAAAGAGGGCTGTAGCATTGCTTAACTTGGACAGATAAATGGATTGTGACAAGTACAGATTTTGACGAGCTTCTCAAATTCAATCCAAATTTGTGTATTTCTGTATGAAAATATTACTTATTAAAGTTATATAGTAATTCTGGAATTAACAGCCCTTGTGAAATACTTAAATACCACCCAGCCCATGAATGGTAGACAGTTAACAGATAAGGACCACTGAGCTCTCCAGAAACATGTTTGCACCTTGCATTTTTGATGCCGTGCTTTGATGGACTCCAGTAATGTTCCACCAATTTTCCACAGACCCATTCCACTCCTACCTTGATTCTGCAAATGAGTTGCCATGTCCAGTGTTTTTTTAATGATCTACTACAACATAACAATACCGCTGTATCATAAAACTGACAACATGTGTTTCTGTACTGCATGGTTTGTTCTTTGACATTTTTAATTCCTTTTTGTTGGATGACTTCTTGTTGGTGTAACAAGACACTTGAGAATTGCTTGTACATGGTATTTAGTATAGTAGGATTGGTAGAAATGTCAGTTATCCTAACTGATATTTGGACTTAGGTTCCCCCCCCCCCGAATTATGTAAAAATTAACATGGTGGAAGGTGACTTGTGCTTGTATGTTGTGGAGAATAGGGTAGATTGCCTTCAGAATGGATTGAGTTTTACACTTTTAGATTATTGCTATTAATTTCATTTTTATACTGTCTGTAGCCGAACCTTTCTGGGAGGTATACAATAAAGTATAAAAACAATAAACTACAATAGATAAATTAATTTTTAATTCTTCTGTTTTTAAAAAAAACATAAGAGCAATACAAAACAATAAAAAGCAATTTAAAAGACTGGGCCAAGAATAAAAGCTGGGCACCTGGTTAAGTTGTGTCAGGCCCCTGAATGGCTATTGCATCCATTCCATTCATAAATCAAGAGTTTAAAGAAATGTGTTCTCCCTTTTGTGTGTGAAAGGGTGCCCCAGATGTCTGAGTCTGAAAGCTAAGAATAGTTTTGAGAACCTTACATATTTTTTTTACTGAATGCAGCAACTAAAATTAATTTCCAGCTTTGTTAATGTAAAAACTGCCTGATTTTCCCTCCTCTTTTTTTACTGACTAAGGAGTGTGTGTGTTTTTCCTTGGAGTGGAGCTAGATCTGGGTAACAACTGCATTTTATATTTTAAAAAATGGACATCAAAGATTTGTATGTTTTTCTTTTCACCCTAGAAGTTCTAGGGACAGTTTTGCATGCAATCTGAAACCAGAAGAGCTTATTTGAATGCCTGCAATTTCTTCCCAAATTCCATCTTAAATGCAAACTCTGTGGCTCCCCCCCCCCAACATTTTTATGGCTTTTACATCTTGCCTGATGGAGAGTTGAGGAGAACTCAAAAGTTGGCACAGTATTTCATGATGTTTTGGTTTAGGTAGTAAGGATATGACCCCAATCTACAAATGCCCCCTGCTGGTTCTTCCTGTCTCTCCAGCAGCTTTTGCTATCTTCTGTTGCGCTTATTCCAAATTTCTCTTATTTCTTGTAGGAATTTCTCACTTTGAATCTACTGCTTATCTTCTGAACTTCCTCCCTAGATAATCTCAGAAATAACTTTTTTCTGAGAACTTACCCTTCATATCTCATTCTCCCCACTCCCATATATTCCATTAATATGTTCAAGTTGAATGTTAGAAGGAGAGAGAGCAATCTGTTTTCCCCTCCGCTTCATTTTCTTTGATAATGTTGACTATATTGCCATCTCTCTTGCTTCTTGAGGACTGCAACCTTGGAATAATTTATGGTACTAAGGAATTATTTTGTTCCCTTGTCCAATTGCTGTTTTACAGTTGACTTCTACAACTTGACATTCCCTTAAGTGTGTTGGACTACAACTTCCATAATCCCCATCCAGCATGGAGCTAATGGGAGTTGTATTTTAACACACATGGAGGGCTCTGTTTTGGGAAGGCTGCTTGCCTGTCATATTTATGTTGACTGTTAAAACCCTTGTCTAAGACTAATTGCTTAGACTGCTGCTTATTTTTCTTTGCTATCCTCTCTCTACATAGTTGAGAGAACTTCTGTTTGGCTATTCCAATGCTATTTTCTTTGATGCACATAATTAGTAAATGTGAATGCTTTTACTAGCTTCTCTCTTTTACAAGTTCAACACTTGTCAGCCTTATTCATTTTCTTCTGTCATGCTTACTGCCTCTGAGCTTAGAAAGCTGCTTTCTGTTTGTTAGGTTGTCTCTTACCACTTCCAAGGCCTTCTTCCCATTTACCAAAACTCTTCTGAAAAAGACTCAGACTACCTGTTATGCATCTCACTCTAGTCCCATTTCTTTTGTTTGTCTCGCCCTGTTATAGCTTTGTCCATTAAATGTAGGTTGAAAGCCCTCATGCAGAGACCATGTTACATCTGTGTAGCATCTAGGATACTATTAGCGTAAATGTGAGGAATGATTAAATGCTTGCTGAATGTATTTCCCTATAATATGAAATTAGGCTGTAATCCTGTTCCCACTTACCTGCGAGTGTGACCCTCACTGAACTCAAAGGGAGTTCTGAGTATACACACGTGCACATACACAATTGGATCAGTCCTAAATTGTGAGATTTTGATTGAGCATGCATGAGCATCTCCTCTGGTTATGTCAGTTTAAGATGCTCTCAACAATATGAAATTAGTTTTTTGCTGTTTATCCTTGCTAACACTCTAAACAGCAGATCTTTTAACACTCCTCTACTGTTTATATTGACAGTCTTAATCTGCAATTTTTATTTCAGTATGACTCCAGTTTAATATAAAAAGCGGTGGTTGAGACACAACATCTGAATAAAAATTATTCATGTTAGTATTTCCCCATTTAGACCTGACTGGCTCAGTTTGATTTATTAGGCTGTACATTGAAATTGTAAGGGATAATAAAAGTCTTTTTGTGAGTAGACCTCTCTGAACTAAGTTCTGTAAATCTGATTGACTGTCAAAAAGTTAAAAGTATCAGTCACTTTGCACAAGAGCCTTATTTATTATCTCACTAGTTCCACTTAGCATTTACCACAAAAGTAAACATACAGAAATGTTTTCTTTATTCACTATATCATTGCTTGACAGTCTCAGCCCTTTTATTAATTAAAATTAAGCTTCTGGTTTTCCTACTGAATTGAATGGGAAAGTGAAACTGCTGAACACCTAAGATCCATTCTGTATGTAACACTGCCTCAGAACAGAACAGAAAAAAAGAATGTAGCTTTTTGCTTGTATCTTAAATTCCATGTTTGGGTCCATATATCACTAGAGTAGATCTTTGTGTTTTTTGTTAAAGCCAATGAATGAGTACAGCTGTGCTCAAAACATGTCACCAGTTTAGAAAGCATTACAGGGTTCCTTTGGATTCCAGGAATACATTTTCCAAGATGGCTTTTATCTTGACATGGGAATAAACATTCTCATTGTGCAAACTTGCAAGACTTATTATTGTTATTGTCACATTACATTTATATCCCACCTTTTGTCCTCTTGTGAGGAACCCAAGGCAGCTTACAGAGGTCAATTTTATCCTCACAACAACCCTGTTGAGGTAGGCTGGTCTGAGAGTGAGTGACTGGCTCAGAGTCACCCAGCCAGCTTTATAGTTGCTTGGGGACTAGAAGCCAGATCTCTTGGGTCCCCAATCCAACCCTCTAACCATCATACCACATAGTGCTTCTCCTTTGAAACACACCTTGAAGCAAAATTTGTAATGTTCTTTTGGAGGGAAGGTAATGGGTAGGAGACAAAACTCTTATTAGGTTATTTGGGTACATTGGACCTCTTCAATTAATTATTATGAGCTCAGTATTTCACCTAGGCAATTTTTTGGTTCCTGTTTTTCTCTTCAGTTTTTTTCTTCATGGCTTCCTGCTGTCTAATTAGGATTGCATAATGTGGGTGGGTGGAATTTTTTCCCTCAATTACAAGTCAGAGTTTGTTTATTCCTAACTTAACAAATACTCACTGCCCTTTTTGTGCCTTTTTGTTCAAATGAAATGAATTAATATTATTATTACTATTATAACATTTTGGCTTCAAATGAACTGTAATAGTTATGTTAAACTACATTTTTGGAATGGCATATTTTAAATTGGAGTCATTTTGAAATAACTTTATTTCCCACCAGAATATTAAATAGCAGATCAAAACTGTCAGAATAAATGGTAGAGGGGAGGGTTAAGCCAGCTATTGTTTAGTCTGGCCAAACAGCAAAAAGCAAACTTCATAATTTTGAGACTGTCTTAAACTGACATAACCAGAGGACATGCTGTGTTCTGCCCAGTAAAATAGTAGCCAGTCTTGATGCTGGCTGACTACTCCTAGTGTAGTGTGTTTTGGGTTGTTGCAGGCAGGTAGGTATTGAGATTTAGGGAGATGGCAGCCATCTGTGGCTGGGGTTGTTCCATAAAAGTCTCAGCTGCACCTCACAATAATAAGAGAAGGAGTCTATGTGTCTATGGCTTTATCTGTTTTAATCAGAATACACCATTTTCTATTATGTAGTTGCATTACTGAACTTCATTGGCACAAATGCAGTTTGTAGGATTCCTGCTTTCTGTCTCTTAATATGAATCATTACAGATAGGATGGGAGCAAAGTTTCAAATACCTTGTTTGGGTTTTTGCTTATGCTTCCATTCCAAAAGTTAAACTTATGTTTGATAATGATGATGTATGAAAATGTAGTTAACTCGTCCTTTTAGTAATTGTTGATTTTAAAATAGATTTTTTAAAAAGTGCCTGCATTTCCTTAGGTGTTTTCTAATGATTAATAAGACATAATCTCTACCAGCACTAAGT